AAAGCAGAAAAATTCCATTCCTCTCCTTTCCGAGAAATCAAATAACCCTGGTATCAAATCTTTTTACTGTCTAGGTTCCAAAAGTTACCTGATATAGCAAGGGAAGCAACAGTGGTGCAGCTGTTCGTGCATTAATACAGATGAACTTACCCAGTGGTTAAATCTGGATTAAATTTAAATTCAGAGCAGAGTTTGAAAATGAATCAGGGTTATGGTTTGTGAGCACATGTGATGGTGCTAAAATCTTATGGGGTCTTTTGTCTTCTGAAGTTTTGGCTGTGTTTGATCTGGAATGGGAAAATAGGGTCCATTCCAGTTTGGAAAGAAACCCAGAACTCAAATTATATGAGTAAACTCACATCAAGAGACTAAAATGCCCCCAAATGCCCCCTTACCCTTCTCTTTCTGAGGATGGAAAGTTTGACTGTCAGACGGGACTGGGGAAGAAAGATGTCTCCAGATGGAAACTGATGAAAAGCTGAATTTGGCACTATTATTGAAGTGGACCCCTGGTTTTAATTATAAAGTTATATAACAAGTAATGGCAAATCCATTACAGACTTTGAAATCATATCAAGCTTATCTGCTTTAAGCACTGTCAAGCACCCACTTCTCTACAGTAAGCAGAATCCACTCCAGTCTTCAGCTCTCAGGCTGAGATAGCTTGTTCTTGCAGCAACCTGTTTAATCAGCCCAGGAGACTCCCAGGGCTGTTTCCCACCATTTCAACAAACCCTATTTCAAGGGAAACTTTTCCAAAAGATTTGAAGTGGCTTTTAAAATTGATTTGATCCTTGCGTCAACTGTTAGCAGTGTGCCAGTGAATTACCTGGGAACATTTATTTAGGATTCATAAATATGTATAGGAAAACTGTTGGTACAGGCACTATTCTGCCTGCCTTGAAATATTGAGATGCTGTAATACTTTGATTTGAAACATTATAACCTGCAGGAGGAAAAGCTTGACATAAGGATAGAAAATTCAGGCTTAAAACACAAGGTATTGTGGTCATGAAGTTACTTTGCAGACTGGCAGGATATGTTAACGGTTTCAGTGGCTAAAATGATGGAAACAACCATCTGGGTTTGAGAAGCCTGAACTTTAGTGTGAAAAGCCGAAGTCCTCAACAGTCCACCTGACAACGCTGTTTTATCTGATTTTAATTAATCTGTCACTACAAACATGACCTAGTTACCACAGTACGACTGTCAGCTTGCAATAGCTTTTCCCTAGAGTCCTCCTTAACTAGCGTTTGCCATTTGCATTTGCTCATTCGACCGTGAAGAGCAGTTAATTAGCTCCATCTACTGCTGCATGGCGTGAACTGTACCAGCAGCGCCAGTTCGGATCGCACCCGCAGGGGTGCTTTAGGCGCTCAGCCGCAGCACGCCGCTGGCAAGAGCTGTTAGCGGGAAGCCGAAGGCTTACGTCTTCCTGTTCCTTCTGCTGTCATCAGCTTCACTGTTACGTAGGTTTTCTTTAATCTCTAATCTTTTTGGGAATTTCTTTTTGAATTGCAGGGCGACAATGTGGGGCATCATTTTTTAAAATATATTCTCCCATGCCAAAAGACATAACAGTTCTCTTAAAACAATTAGCACAAACAATGAAGAGACTTGCAAGGAAGGAAACGGAGCTATTTAAGTTACTGCTGCACCGATAATAAAGAAGGCCACTGCGCTGAAAATGGGTGCTTAGATCAACAGATGGATGTCCTTATCTTACGCTTGCCATATGTGTTGACTGGAGTATTCAGATGGGGTATTCAGTTGTTTATGTTTTAAAATAAATATTCTGATATTCATTTGAAATGCCTTCTTAGTTTATGAGAGAGCTAATGAATGCCTGTTCTAAAATGTCATCTTTCTTAGTATTTCCCTTTTGATTTAGGTGGAATATTTCAAATACTCTCAAAACATCCCAACTAGCATCTCAGTAAGCAGGCTGCATGAGATACTTACCTACGACATAGCTGAATCAGAGAAACACACCAGAGACTTGCCAAAGTGGAAAGGTAGCAAGGATTAACACCTTCAAATATCTAAAATCTCCAAAAAATTTTTATTATTATATTTAAAGAAATAACTTAGCAAAGGATTTTATTTTCATAATAGATTTACTTTTCCATTAGGAAAGAAAATAATACCAAAGAGCTTATTAAGGTCAGAGATGTTTTTCTAGTCTGCACAATGCTTAGACACCTGTGAGATGGCTGCTAAACCAAAAGACCAGGCTTGCAGGTATTCCATAGAGGAAGGAAATTTATTCCTTGGGCTGGCTGCTGCCTTCAGATACATCAAAAGTCGCGCACCTCCTGCTAACAGCAAAGTGAATTACATGAAGATGCATCATCAGTTCGCGCCACTACCCCCTTCACCTACCTCGTGGCCCTAGTTGTCCCTAGGCCTCAAGTGGCCTCAAAATACAACAGGATGTTTCTGAATACAGAGTCAGAGAAGGTCCCTGATTAGAAAACATTAAAATAAAAGTAAGCAAAAGAAAGAGAAGGCAACTATCAACCAGAAAATGATTGCGGCAAATCCTAGGTCTTTCCCCTTTACTTTTCACCAGGGGTGAAAAAAAAGCCATTTTCATTGCCGAGACTAGCTTTGAGTGCCTCAGCCTCAACTTTGGCCCCTGTTTTTACCTCTAAAAGAGACTTCTCCATCTCTAATTTACCTCTGAGTTGTAGCCTTCAATGCATTGTCCGTGAATGCGACTTACTTAGAAGAGCCTTTCCAGCTAACTCCAAGGAATTAGATAGTTTCTGGGGACAGTTTTGTATGTTTGAATGGGATAATTTAAATGCTGTTCTTCATTCTTCATACACCGCCCTGAAAATCTGCTCCTCTGGCTCCTGGCGGGAACATCTACTTACACAAATTCATGTCAAACCAAGTTTTGGGCTTAAAATTTGTAATTAATGCAGTATTATGCAAAGCAGAATAATAAATAATCTGGCTGTGCAGTCTATTCTTTCATGAAAACATGGGGGACTTCAGTGTCTAACTCCGCTTACAATTAGCACATCAGTGGAAAAACAGATCTTGTTATCAGTTAATGCACTGTAAATAAATCCGTCCAGACCTTCAACAGCTTTCTAAAAGAATATTTAAGGTGAATTACCTCCAAGTTAATTGGAAGCTACAAAACTCTAAATGCTTACTTTATGCTTGTAGTAAATGTAAATCCCAAATTTAGTGTTAACACAACAGGTAACTTGCAACGTATGGATGAACTATTTGAAAAGATTGAGGATTAATGTAAACTTCAAATTTAAGAAACTAAATACAGAGCTTTACCATATGCCTTCTGTGAATTTTATTTGAGTAAGAACTGGAAAGAGATCTCAGAGTTCAATTCCACATCTCATTTCCAAGAAAAAAAATCTCATAGAATCTGTTCCTGAGTAAAGGGTTTAAGGTTAAATCTGCAACACCAGAATGTTAAATAAAAAAATCGTACTTTTTCTTGGCTTGTCCTTAACACAGGCAGTCTTGGTTTGGTTTTTTGAATGCATTTGCTTTTACATGAATGTCAGAAGAGCCACAAGGAACCAAAAGCCACTAGACTGTTCTTGAAGTCGCATTGCCTCAATAAGCCTTGCAAGAGGCATTACTGAGAACAGTAGAGAAACAAGCTTTCAGTACTCAACAAGTTCAGAAAATAAAAATACTGAGGGGATTTTATTGACCTAATACTTGTTTATTGGTGTGCAATGATTACACCACCTTCATGGATCTAGTTGTGAGCAGGGGCAAATCTAACCCACGCTGGTATTTTGCACTTTCCTTCTTCTCATGTAATGGTGTTCTTCACAGGCAGCACACTGGTAGAAAGGTGTATCAAAGAGTCTCAATATTATGGGAGCTTTTAAATGCGTTTCTATGTGTGCAGTGTGTCAGATCATCATAAATGTCAAGGTACACAGTCTATAAAAGCACACATACAAATTTCTACATATATATGCAACCCACACATATACTATGGTCAGGAAAAAGGTATAATAGTAAGTGCTTCTAAACTTCCAGACTGCAGTATAAGAAACAGGTTGCCATATCAATAACTTTTGTAATATCTGTCAGTGAAGTAACCACTCAGAAAGACTGTTACGGTTTTTCATCAAGTGTAACCATTCTCTCATGTGGGTCATAATTTCATCTGTGTAAAACTCCCTTTTTTCATCAAGAGTTATTGCATATCCAGGGTTTTCTTTTCAATTCAAGGAGTAAGCTTTTTCATCTTTATGTGAAATTTTTAATGGCAAGTGACTCAAGAGGAATTTGCTAAGCTGAAAATTAAGCACATCAAATTTTTCCTCTGCATAATAGTTACCCAGGCAGTTGTGACTGAGCAGAGTACAAACATCAGGATAAATGGCCGTATTCCATTAAGGATTGGCCAACACCTAAGTATGTCCTCACTTGGGAAAAACATCTCTCTGGATCTAAACCTTTTGGCTCCAGTCCATTTCTATATTCTGCCCTGCACTTATTCAGAAAAGCCATTGATGCCTATGGGAATTCTGTCTAAAGATGTAGGGAAATTATTGTTTGGTTTGTGTTGATAGCCCATGCCTTTAAAGCTGTTTCTTGCTATGAAGCAAAACCACTTTGATCTGCAATTATACATTTTCTTATATAATCTGGAAAATTTATGCATTATTGACAAAGCTAAAAGGAACTGAATACTGAAAGCATAGCAGGAAAACACTTCATTGGTTTTATTTTTAAATGTATTCAACGCAGTTCAGAAACAAGTGTAACATAACTCTTATTTTACAAAGTTGACCATTAAAATATTTAAAAAGGTCTTACTGGCCTTTGATAAATAGTTTAATATGGGACATGCACGCTAATAGGAAAGTCAGTTTTGGATGACAGTCATTTAACAACGGAAAAGTGAGTTAACAAGAAACTTTGTAGAAATTCTTGAGAAGATGGCATGTCCTTTCATATCCACTTTCTAAACTTTAAACCAATTTTACACATTAAAATATTTAGAAATACAAATAATACACCCAATAAAATACATTAATTATGATGAATGATAACGGGAAAGAAAATCTGGCATAGTTGTCTATGTGGTAAGGATTTTTAACATGGAAGCAATCAAAGATACAGAAAAGTCTTTTCATTACTGACATTGGTGAACTACACCCACTGCGTTTACTTCTCTCCCTTTTTCCGTCGATGCTGGTTTTGCTGCTCTTGTTTGAATCGATCTTGTTCATATTGTCAGGGGCACTGCAACTGTTAGTGACTGCTGCCAGGACTCCATTCCTCTCTTCTTCAGCCTCTTCATCCTCATCCTGATAGGAAACAAAACAGCAGGTACTTAAGTGCGTGTTTCATCGCCTATTTACTTTAGAGCTACAGTAAATAATAGGATTTTTCTTACGAGTCCTCCTGTTGCTCGCGCCTTAATTTCAAGGGCAAGCACATACATGCACCAGACAGCTCCTTTCAGCTTCCAAAGCCTCCGTTTACAGGAAAAACACTGACTTAAACAACATCTTACTTTAAAAGCTTTCGTAGGACTGTTGAGCAAAGCTGGATTTGTTCAAATATGGCCCACTAAGCTTTACTTAAGACAGCAGCAAATCCATGAAATGCACAACAATAAGCTGTCTTCTGCTCAGGGAAAATACTGGTGAAGGTCAGTGTCTAGAAAGTGGGTAAAGCAAAGCCCCAGTCTGGAGATGGAGAAGGTGCGGGAGCTGCCAGACCAGCTAGTCAAGCTGGTTGCACCCCAAATCAAGCACCCCAGAATACAAGACACTTTCCTTCTGTGCAGTTGGCTACTCTATTCCCAGTGCTTTGTGATGAAAATCAAATTACTTAAAAAAAAACAAACAAACAAACAAAAGCACAAAAAAAGAGGATCATAAAGCGGGACAGGCCACACAACTAATTCAATACTAAATAGCTCATGCTACTTTCTTTCAAGTCCTGAAACCCATTCTTTAAGTTCAAAATTATGCTAAGGTTAAGCAGATTTTTATGTGCTTCACTGCATCAAGATAGCTCTTTGGAGAATGTTGTATAAGCCTTTTGGTGGGTTTTGTTTCTTTGATTAGAAATGGCTCGGAGCCATGAAGTTCATGTATGAAATCTTCACCCTTTGAAGTCAGCGGATTTTCTGTTACTGGCTCAGAGGACACAGGATTAGACATCAGCTGCAGCTTCAGCTCTAAACACAAACTTTCTTGAAAGTTCTGGGGTATTTAGTTTGGTTTGGGATATTGCAGAGATACCAGCAGATCCAACCTACAAAGATTGGCTCCAACTTTGTACCTAAACTAAACCTGAATTTGTATAGTTGGAGGAGGGGTCATTTTAATTCAGGCAGGTGTACACATAATTTTAATCTTCTCCTGATGATTTTATTACCTTCCAAATCAGTGAACGGCATACAAGCAAGAAAAGACTAAAAATTTATTTGTGAAATGTAGAATGCAGAATCTCTTTCCTCTGACCAATTTGCTTTATCCATTTGCATCGTGAGAAGAAAAAGATTAGACAAGGACAAACTTTAGAAAAGTTAAGATGTACAGCACTATGTGTAGCCACACAAAAAGCTCATTTAGAAATATCCCAGCTATTAAAGTCAAAGAAAGCTCATTAAGCCACCTGAGTGATCTCCATGCCGGTGCAGAATTGCTCTTCTGCCCAAGGTACTTGTAGACGGCACGGTTCTTGAGTCTTTCTTCATCTAAAATTAGTAATGTCCTTGAAAATTAAAGTGGAGTCTGGGCAATGTCCTTAGACTGCTGTGAATCAATGAAGCAGAACAGATGGAGCTAGAAAAAGGGATTATTACTGCTCTTCATTTTCAATTTGCCAAAAAATCCAGTATATTTTATTTGAGAGAGATAAATGTAGCTCAACACAATGTGTCATCCTAAAAATACACTGACTGCAAAACCTTGCTCATCCTCCACCTAGCCTCCTGCAGGTACGTGAGAATTTTGAAACGAAAGGCCAGGGTAAAAATCTGCCTATAAAGCATTAAGAGGATCAATCCATAAAATTCCAGTCTGAACCTTAAACAATCCCCAGGGTAGTACTAAAACTCAAACCTGGAGTTTTACTTGGGGCCTAACTCTGTTATAAATACCTAGCTCTTCTGCTTCAAAAGGTTCAGGCAGCTGAGGGAAGCGCTGGGGTTGGCAGAGGAGCCTTTGTCAGCAGCGCCTGGCACTTGAAACAAGGCAGCGGAGCGACAGCCTAATGAATGCACCCGGTGCTTCCAAAGTTAATAAAATAAAGAAACCTGTCGGAAGAGTCCTGACTTTTTTCCACTGCTCTCATTTTTTAGAAAGGGAAAAAAGAGCAAAACAACATCTATACTTCAAAACTGTCAGGATTTGGGGCATTATTCAGTGTAAGAGTCTATTTGTCTCTCAGGTAGGGCTAGCTAAAACTTGTACAGAATTAGTTTTACTGCAGAGCATGAAAGGACATTGTGTACGTGCCGTTTTTCTTTTCACACAACCGCATGTGAACAATTCGCAGGAGACTGATGCTTTATTAGGCTGTTCTTAACTCCTTTCTACTCCCCAAGAGGCAGTTATTACTTAAGCAGAAAATACCATACACGGTGCATATGTACTTGATTCTGTTTGCAGTGTTACAAGGCAGGGCTCTCGCAGAACAGAGACAAATTTACAGCAAAAGTGCTGTATCACATTGCTTCAAAAGGAGAAAGCTAATCTAGAGGAGAACCACAACTCGTAGTTTATAAAAAAATAGTCTTATAAACTGGGACTATCAAGGGACTTTTCCAACATGCTATGAAGAACTGAATGTGATGAAAGATTAAGCTGGTTTACATTATATTAAAAAATTGTGTTGCAAGTGTTCAACTGTGGCTCTAATTTTGAATGTCACACTAAGTTTTCTCTGGATTCCAGCTGTATATGAGAAAATGGCAGCTGGCACTAAGAAGGGCTGTGTTTGGATACAAAATTGGTAGCATCCAGGAAAGGTACTGTACATCACATGAAAAGCACTGTATATGGCACGTGCTGCTGTGGCTGCTGTTTATGCTAACTGAAGTGTTTGCTGACATCTAACAGCCAACAGAATTGAGGAAAGCTGTAACTTCCATTGAATAATAAAGATGCTCAAGATTAAAAATATTTCAACCTAGAGCATTGCACACCCAGAGCTTCTTCAGTGTTCAGAAAGACTGCACGATGCTTGCACAGAAATGCTGAGTAGGCTGAACACTGCCCTTGTAACCTTATTTTCAGTTTTCAAACTTTTCTCCTTTCTGACCAAAAGGGAGAGGTTTAGGTGAAAGACAGATGAAGGCCAAGGAGGAATTCTCTGTTTTATAGGAGGGCACAATTCACACCTTTGTTTAAAAGAGAAGAAACCCAGGATTTTGCAGAGGCAACCTCTCCATTTAGGCAGTCTGTTATGCAGTTGATGTGAATGGCACATTTTGCCTGACCTTCTTTGCAGCAGGTGGTTCCTCTGCTGTTGCCATTAGCTTTGAAGCTGTCTCTGTGGGTCCCGGTTCACGTGATGGGAGACACTGCAAGAGTGTGGATATGACGAGCTGTTTCACCAGTTTATGTTCTAAACTGGAGACTCCAAGGGCTTCAAAAGAACATCATATGCCAGTACCCAACTGCTTTAAAGAGCAAAGCAGAAAGCAAACCAGTGCAACTAATTCCTATACAAAGCAGAGGGTTACATTTTCAATGCACCTCCTACATTTATTTACATAATTCTGAGTGCAAATTTTGTATCAGCTCACATATGGGAATAACAAACTGGGAAGTGAGATTTCTAATTAACCTATGTCCACAAGAGAATATGATAACGAGGAGCACACATTTATGGTGACGATACTCACACAGAAATTTGTTAAGTACCTGCTAGACAGTGACATGAGATTTTAGCTGCTACTTCTGTCCTTGCGATGTTTTGTTTTTTACAGTGAGAAATGAGAAACACAAGTCAGGTGTGCTCTCCATGGCACCCTGCTCAGTAAGCGGTGCTTGTCCTTGGCTACAGTAGGAAAAGGACATGACAGGCATTTTCCTTAGTCTACGGAGTCTTGAGTTGATCTAGGACCAACCAGCTGCCCCTTCCCTTATATGCTTGTGTTTGTGCAGGCGAGAAGTGAGTGGGACTGGCTTGCTCAGTCCTGAGGCACAGGAGAAGGCAGGAAACATGCCTGAAGTGACAGACCATTCCTTTCAGTCATTAAGTCCATCACAGAACTGCACCTTAAGTCTTTCTTCCTTCCTCATTTTAGAGCTGTACCTCCACTTACTTCCATGCACGTCTTTCAAGCCCACGACTTCCCATGTCTCTGCCCCACCTGCAAGCACTAGTACATGTGCCCCAAATGAAAGGGAATCTGACACAGGTAGGCAAAGGCAAGGTCAGTCATAAGTGCCCTTCACAGATCCAAAGATGCTTAATCATCCAAGCCCTGAAACACTTTATTTTCTTGCCCAAACCTCCAATAAGCTTTTTTTTTTTCTTCTGCTCTATGAGCAAAATGACAACCACTTACTTCATAAGACGGATATGCTCAGAGGGAATTGTCGCTGACGCTACCTTGCCAAGAAAAATTACTTTCAGGCTTTCCACTCAAATCCTCATACAAAATGAGTGTTTGCCCATTTGCAGACATTCCCCCATTAGATGTTGTCTTTTAAAACCTACTGGGTGGCTCAGTTTTGTGTCCGTTTTTCAATCCTTCTCCACACACCTAGATCTAATGACAGCTTTGAACATATTCCTGTGCATTTACAGAACCTATCTCTCATCCAAACAGCCAAAATCCCATATTAATCGTTGAACTATCTAGGCATAAAAAACCACATCTTGGCTGGTCTTCATTGTTTTTAGGCTTCTCCACTTGAACTCAATATCCTGTTTCTTGAGCCTAGCGAGGAGCTTTGCTTAGGCATTTGTGATGCTCTGTTCTAGTTTGGCTTAAATAGTTAACAATCTTTCTTCTTCTGGCCATTTATCCCTACAGCACTCAACCAAACTTTTTCCTGCTTTTTTTTCTGTTATTCTCACTTTCCATGTTTTGCTTTTTTCCTGTTCATCCAGAAGTTTCATAAGCTGCTTAAAATTTTTTTTTCTGTCATGCATATTAGATTCAGTTCCGTAATTAAAAGCTGCAAGACAATCAGCTTCCAACTTCCTTGTGATTTCTTTTTCACTGCTTATGAAAGCAGTGCTAAACACTGGAGATGGAAGATGCGACAAAACTTCTTCATGAACCTGCCCTGATTATTTCAGCAAGATAACCACCAGACTCAAAAATGCCTATGTTGATTTGATCCCTTTTTATTTTAAGTATATTTTACAGTATTCCAGAGTTGTGAGAAGCTCATTAGGGCAGCAAAAAAGTGCTGCTATAATAATGATGCAGAACAGAAAGTGAATTCCAGTCTGACCTTCAGCTGCAGCTGTTGAAAGAGAAGGTGTAAGTGGAAGGCTATAGGGATCTGATACACCTAGTACGTGAAGCTGTCGGCTACTAAACTGACTCATGTACCATGCATGTGCAGAAGGTTTCATAAACAGAATGTGATAAAACCTTTTCTTTTTTTCTGTATTGCAGTAAGATCAAGTCACCGAGCTCAGTCTAATTTTTGAACTGTAAATAAGCATATATCATTGTGGGGAGACGAGTGCCTATGATTTTTGTGATACCTCTAGCACATTGTTTGATAAATGGCTGTAAAGTCCATGCCAAAAGAGAGAATCATTATAGAAGGGTGTTTCAGTTTGTTTGATCTCTTCCAAAAAATTCCAGGTATACAAATAATTTTTCTTTTTCTCAAGGTTATTCTGTTTTCAGTCCTTATTCTAAAATAGAAACTTCCTTAAATACATTTACCATTAGTGCTAAGATAATTCATTCTCTTTAGCAGGTATAATTGAAGCCTGTTGTGTAGGACAACAATCAAAGAATTAAAATACCTTTGGAAGTTCCTTTGAACTGAGTCGATGCAGGGTGCAGAAATGAGCCACGGCATACTCTAACAGTGCTCCAAAGATGAAACTGAAGCAGATACCGAGGTACACATCAATTGCCTTAATAAAGCAATTAGCATTTGGGAGTGAAGTCCTGGCTCCCATCATCAGTGTTGTCATAGTAAGGACTGTGGTAACACCTGTGGAATGCAAAAACATACGTTCTGATAAAACACGGATAGCAATGAGGGCCTCTACTGCAAGGGCCCTGCTAGAAAACAGTTGTTCTGGCTCTGTGAACTCCTAGTATGCCACAGCACTTATGTGTCATGTTTTGGAAAGAAGACTTTCAAATGAACTTGTGATTCTGAAGTTAAATGTTTAAAAACACTCATGAAAACTGTTTGTAAGGCTGAGAAGACTGGAAATTAAAATGAGAGAGATTTTGGTGTCATAGAATGTATATTTATGATTAACATCTTATTATTGCAATACTATGCAAACGCTCCCTTTAAAACAGTCAGATATCATTTTGCTCAGTGCAGTTGCCCACTAGCCTCATTTGATGTCAAATCTTTCTTTCTTCCCTTCCTACAGAAGTAGGAGTATTTTTCCCACCCCACCTGCAGCCTGATCAGAACTGATTTGCATTCGTTCCCTTTCAGAATCTCCTTTATTTGAAATTAATTATATTTAATCTCTTATAATTCTCTTATTATTCATGTGTTAATTAGTACGTATCATTAACCTTCACAAAAGCCTCACAATTCTGTCTGTGCATGCCATGTGTTTGAATATGTTGAAATTATTTCCAAAATGACTGAGTTGTCCTTTGCTTTCAGCAGCCTCCCCTGCCTCCAAGTCTCCTGTAGCTCTCAAAGGCGTTTGCTTAGTTAAAGAATAGCAAGGCTTTAAGGGGAATATGCACGATGTACTGCAGATGGCAAACCAGAAAAGTAATTCCATAAAACTTAGAAGTGTTGGCAACTTTTGGAAATGGATGCCATGTACGTGCAATAAAGCAAGCATCTTAATGATCCAACTCTTGGTTTGTTTTGCTTTATCAGCTTCTCACCTATGCAGATTCTGGCTGGAACTGATGACTGGCTTATCCAAAACGATACCCAGGAGAGCACGACCAGTAGGATTGATGGTACGTACGTCTCTAGTATGAAATACAAGATGTTTCTCTTGAGTTCAAAGTGAAACACTAGTTTTGGGTAATGTCCTGTGGAAAGAGCAGGAAAAAAAATATTGTGAATGTGCAACTCATAAAAAGTTCTTTAAATTATCAACCTGTATTATTTTTGTACATTATTATGCAGTAAAAGCTTAACAAACACGCTTGGAGAAAAATAACACAGTGCTGAAAAATTCTACCATGAAGACTCTAAATTGAACTGAAGGAAAAGAATCAAAATATGTAACACCCAGTCACCACACCCAGAGTTTCATTAAAGATGTCTTGAATTGGAAATTCACTGAGGATTAGTGAAGGAAAAAATAAATCCATCAATGTGTGGGAAGGATGTTTCATTATATAACACAATGCAAGGAAATTTGATATCACATATGTATTTAGCCATGGTTATTAATAAGAATTACCACAATGAGCTATAAACTAGCATAATAACAATTGTAATTTTATGAAGTTAGCATGGGTCCTTATCTTTAACTGCCCCACAAATCTGGATTATTGTGCTTTTTTTTTTTTCATTTGCTATTACTCAAGATGTGGAACAAAGGTACATTCTCTGATACTGCTGACCTAACTCTTATATTCCACTTAAAAAAAGCAGTGTCTTTGCATCTTCACTATCTATTTTTTCTTTACATTAGTGCATCGCAGTGTTTGTGTCATTCTGAGCAGTGTCACTGTTGTGGCACAAACGGTTTGCTTCTAAGTGAGTGATGTCCAGAAGATGAAAGTTTGGGCTCACAGAGTCAAATACAGAATCGGGTTTCATAAGGGGACAGCACACTGGTAAGCAAAGCCCGAATTTGTTATCCAGCTCACTAACTGAGCAAAATTTGGCTATGTTTGGGCAACAGAAGTGCAGGATCTGAAATTGTTACCAGTCCAACGGATCAAAGTAAGGCAAAAGCTTGCTTTGTAGTAACTTAAATGTGCAGAACAGACTTTTTATTCGGAAGTTCAAAGTTCAAAATTAAGTGTTAATGTGTTTAAGTTTTTTAAAACATTGTTTTAACAAAAATCTTGAACCAGAATATCAGTGAGAGAGTAATGCTTGAATATACTATGGTCAGCTAGCTTTGGCTTTGTCTACTTTAATCCAACAAATGATGATCTCCAGGACCTATGTTTGTTTCCAATGCTGAGTGCTGTGAGTCAGGACAGAACTACAGAACTGTGAATGCACTTTAGCAACAACAATATATGCATAGACAGGCTATTTGTGCATCCCTCAGGTGTGCTGTGAGACATGAAGTCAAAGAAAAGAGTACTTTTAAAAGCTTGAAATGCAAGTAATGGATGCCAAGAAATGTCTTGCTCCCAGGCTAGAAAATGGATGGTTAAATTTCCATTTTTAAAAGTATTGTATAAATTGCATCCAGAGAACAATAAGGTTTCATAGAACTCTTAAAATCAGAAAGAATCACTAGATTATGTAGTCCCTAATCACAAGTCATTAAATTTCCCCAATTATCCCTTGCTTTGAACTCAATCACTTTGATTGGAATAGAGTCCACCTTTCACACAGACATCTAGACTTAATCCGAGGACATCAAGACATGCAGCATCCGCCACTTCTCTCAGTAATCTGTTACAACAATTAAAATAATTCTATCTGCTAAAAAAGAATGCCTAATTTCTAATCTTAATCTGATTTAAGAAAGGTTAATCAAGCTTTCTGCCATGTTGACTCTGCCTTTTCACTAGTAGACTAAATAGTCCTTTGGTAGCCAGCTCTTTCTCCTCCTGAAGGTACAAATACATCGTACTTAGGGTTCTTCTTTGTAAGTTCAACATATTGAGTTCTTCAGGTTTCTGACCGATAGAAAAAAGGATACAAAGATGGACAGTAGACTTTAACTCTGTCCATGAGGCAGGAGATACAAAGATGATTTATACCATTATCATCACTTTTATGTGAAAAGAGAAACATTACATTAGTGTACCTCTATCAATACTGTGATTTTTACCAATACAGTTGTTTCAGTAAAAGTCATTTTGCCCACCAAAATTGATGTTAAGTGTAAGCAGACCAAAGTAAAGCACTTAAAAGTTAGGAAGCGCAAAACTTACAGTTGACTGTGCAACATTACTTCTGCTTCTGTCTGCGCTCATCCTTGCACTAAATCAAACACTAGTGCTATGGAAAAACACTGCGTCTGTACAATAAAAGACTATAGCATAAAGCATATTTCAGGAAAGAGAATTAGGGTTGTACAGGCCATTGTAAATCTGTGGCTTCCTAGTGTGCAAGAGCAAGCACTTAAAACCTTAATAAAAACTGTTAAGGATTTTATTAATTTCGCTTGCAATCTTCTAGGCTGCTATTTAACTAGGACTCAAAACAGATACTTTTAAATAGAAAGACAAAATTTTCTCTGCAGTGTTTGTACCCCAAACCGTCGTTACTGTGGCATGGTTGCAGCTAGCGCACAAAAGACGATGGCACGGCCACCGTGAGTGAGGGAAGGTTGTCAACCCAGAGCTCACGTGAGGGTGCAAAGGGTGCAAACCATCAGCAGGAAACAGAATCCTCCACAAAAGTCATTTGTCTTGTGTTTCTGTGCTGACCATAGGGAAGGATGTGGAGGCACGCACGCAGCAAAGGGGAGGGAAGAGACTGGACCGTGCTTCCTGCAGACTACCACAGGCACTTGGGGGTTCCTGTGGTTCAGCCTTAGAGCTTGTCTTTAAGAAGGGAGACTCTGAAATAGCCAATACATAATAGCCATACAGCAATACCCTCTCCTCGTTAGCACCCTACAACTGTATCTCCATTCACCTTAGTATAAAAGTCAAGTGTGTACATGGGAAGTTAGTTCAAAATACCAAACTTGAAAGTCACACTTTGGCACTTTGCTGCAATTTCCAAGTGTAGACGAGCCCTTCGAATGTTCCCGTGTTCTCTCATGTTACTTTTCCTGATGCCAGGAATTTCTGAAGCCATATGAACAACAAAGAGAAATAGAGATGTAACAGCTTATAGCTGAGCGGCTTTTTGGGGAACAAAGAAAAGGCATTTCTCTAACCTTAAGGCTTTCTGCTTGCCAGAATCCAAAGACACATCACGGACATGGTAATAATAGTGTCAGCATTTCTCTAAAGAGTTCAGAAGAGCTTTTATAATGGAAATTTTGAAGCAACCTATATAAAGAATTCATATGAGCTCCTCCTGTAATAAACTGGAGGAAGAAGTAGTCAAGAAAAAGTATGCAGTGCATACTTATCATGCTAAAGAAACGAGCAATGGGACAAAATGAAGATAGGGAAATATTACAGTCCTTTTTTCATGTATACTCCACAAGTACTAAAAGTTATCATCTTTAAAAAGAAACAGATTTGCTACTCCTATTACGTGGGTTGCGTATGAGATAGTAATGCTATATCTCATTGCCTTTGACTTGCACATCCGAGACTATGGTGCCATCAGTCACATCAAAAGTAAAACAGGTTCATGTAATCCTAGTCCTGGCTTTACTAGAGTTAACTCAAGTACACCTCAGGTTAACTCCCCAAAACCGTCAAGTTTGCCCCTTGCTTGAGTCTTATTGACAACAAAATATTTGCATTAAAATTAGGAGATGCTTTTTCATTCAAGTTTCTGGCCCATGACGGATGGCACCTCAGTGTGTGACTGCTCTGATTTAAATTTGATAATGTGATGGAAATAATCTCTGTGCAGATAGCGTACTCTGCAGCAAAGGCACAGCGTTAGCGCTTGTCAAAGTATCGAATTACTGTGTTTAACAGTTTCTCAGATGAATCTGAACCTAAATGACTGTCAGTATACATACTCTAAACCCACCAGAAGGTGAGGTATTCTACTTAGGTCACCCCACAGTGAAAGAAGATGAAGCTGAGTTACTTGGGCTTTATAGAATTTACTAGAGGGCAGAAGTACAAAACTAGACAGTACCTCTAGCTCGTAGATGAAGAACAAATCTAGATAGCAGACTATAGTCACCATACCTACTCTAACTCTCTCTACTGCTTTAAAAAAAAAAAAAAAAGAGTACCCTAGAAAGTAGAAAGAGGTGAAAGAAATCAAGTTTCAGTTGGTTCCAGCTGACTACTTTTGTTTCAGTATCATAAAAATTATACCAGCATAGACTCTTTCCCAGTAGCTGAGCAGGTGTAGGTCTAGGTCTAAGGCAGATCTTTCTGAAGGCAAGAAAAGCTAGTTTATTCCTCTTTAGAACTTGCCTTTGAAGTTTGGCTTTTGGCTTCTGAAACCAATATTCTAATTTACAGCACTGCATATCTGACAGTTCGTATAGATCTTGCCATAACACTGATGATTTTATCAACACTGACTATCGCTGCACTGCCTGAGAAATAGATATAAACCTAAACAAACAGGTTTCCTTATCACCCTAGGTCATCCATTTTTTGTTTATCCCATTTTTCTATGGTGTCTGTTCCCAGCTGATGGCAGAACGCTGCATCTCTGCTCCTTCCTGCTGCCCTCTGACCAGCGGACAGTCACAGCAGAGGTGCCTGAAGGAAGGACTGATGCTCTACAAACGCTGCCAGCAGTTCCTAACTTCCACTCTAGTGTGACGGGATGGGAGCATCTTCCCCACAGTTACCTCCTGTGGACTTTTTGACGAACTCTACTCCAGTGAAAGACTGCTCCACATCACTCTTTATGTAAGAAGCACTTTGGTATCCTGCACAGGGGTGTGTAGTCAGGCACAAAGAGCACATTCTTCTCTATCATGAAATATGTATGCTAGCCTCTTGGGTGCCAGCTAAAATGTGCGATGTACATCTCACACAAGTGCGTCAGTATAACTCCACCAATGCATCATTTTATTCTCTTCTTGCACCTTTTAAGGGCACAGTACAGGAAAGCTTTAAATAGAATTTTACTGCTTTAACTATGTGCTGAAAATGTAGTTTTCAGTATGCAATTTTTTTATTGCTCGTTTACAATGAACATATGCATTAATGAGCGGGTAGTGTCCCCACTTTTACCCAATAAATAAGTTGTGCAACTGAAATGCAATTCTTTGACTGATGTAGGATGCTAA